ACTAACTTAACATTACAGAACTTAACAACTATACAAACTCTACAAACGTTACAAATCTCATGAACATTTCACCGTTCACCTTTCATAAAACTCCACTTCACCAAACTTCACTTCACCACACTTCACCGCACTGCAATACAGCGAGCTGTAATGTCTTTCTTACTCGTTTCTCTCAGTTGCACGTCACTGCACTTCACGCCACTGCACTGCATATAATAATAATAATAATTATTATTATTATGATAACAATAATAATAATAATGCTAATAACATTAATAATAACAACAATAATAATACTTAATTACAAAGAAGACATAGGTAATTGCACTGGATTTTATTAAATATATTTATAACATATCCACATTCAAGAAACTAATTTATTTTTAAATTTGCTCAGGCTTTGAGGGAAGGGATCGAAGATTATAACAGGCAAACTGTTCCTGTCCCTAATAATTACCTTGCTCTTTTATCACCATCTTTTCTTCCTGGTGATGTACATCTTCCCTTTTATTTGCCGGACATGACAAGTTCTATGGCCATTAGTCCCGTTGGTAAAATAATTATTCTTTTTTATTGCGGGAGGCGGCGTGTTTGTTCCTTTCTGGATGGTGAGATCCGGCGTCGACATCGGCTTGCGGTAGATATCCTCTACAAATCTTCCCCCAGTAGGGCACATCCCCAGCCGGGACAAGTTGTAAGCTTCCGACTTAATTGGTAGTGTAGTGCATGTAAGAGGACAGGGTAGGTCGCAAGTGAATGGCGCCCTCGGTCTGCATTCACGTGGTATTTATTGGAGAAACCATGGAAAACTACCGATCAGAGCACCCGGCCGGTAGAATTCTCCTTCAGATAGTGGTTGAATTCGAACTAGTCGATAATCCGCCACCGTCGAGTATCGAACCTAGGACCTCCCGGTCGAAGTCGCTGCAGAAGCAGCGGTAATGCTGTATGATCTTAACTCAGTCTGTCTCCAAGGGAACGGATGACTATGGATTTGGGGATTTGTATGCTCTCTCGCATGCTGCCATGACGGTAGAGCCTTTGGATAGACTCCGTCTTTGTTCTGCACGTCCCTGTACTACTAGTGACCTTTCTTTTCTAAATGGGCAGTAGGGACCTCACCCACTTCTGATCAATCCAGGAGTGTGGAGGGTCTTTGTATCGACCTGCTAGTGTGAAGGCCGCGATAATGAATTAACTATCCTCACTATGGATACCAAATGCTCATCCTAGTTTATTTGCGCTACGAATAGGAGACTTAATGAAGAAACCATCGACCTTGAGAGTTATTTTTGTTTTTAAAAGATACTGACGAGCCGACAACCCTCGATTTTTATGTCGTGGAAGTCGCAAAGAATGCTTGCTGGGTTTTTTTATGGGAAAGTCGAACGTTTTATGTAAAACATTCTTAACTATATGCGCTAAAGAAGTCCGACTGAGCAAAGAGAACAGACATAAAATGCAAGGAAATCGTCGAAACGTTCTTTGAAATTTTATGTTAAAATTGAGACTGGTCAGAAAGCGTGTAAAGAGGCGTTTCTTAATGTTCGTGGTTTGTACATGTACAAAGGGAGAAAAGAAAAACTGCAAAATGTATTCTCTCGGATGCTGTAACTCTATTCAAGATAAAAGGGACCGTTATTAAAACAGCCCAAATAAAATACCAGAGCAGTTAAAAATGGCAAAAAACATCCTATTACAGCTTACTAGTCTCTCTATTCAGGACGATAAGGACAAAAAATATCATAGATGTGTCCGGAGTTTTTCAAATATTTAAAACTCGACGATGAAACGTGATAGTAAAATCCGGAAAAATGTAATGAATATGTAAAAATGGATATAATATATAATATCAAAACAAGCTCTTATTTTATCGTGTTCAAACAAAATAGATTTACACAATTTCAATTTACAATAATAAAAATTATTAAACCAATGTGACAATATTGCATGGTCTACTATATTACATTTTTAGAACAATTATGGGTCATTCCATGTTAAATCGCACAAATTTAAGGTAAATTTGACCTTAATGTCCCAAATTTTAAAACTTTTTTTCTGTTAAGAGTATGAACAAAAATATGAAACTCGTTTTTCTTTTCTGTTTTTTCCAAAATATTTTTCGAGTTTATATGAATTTTCCAAATAAATGCTCGCTAAAGTTAATTATTTTTAAATCGTTTTGTAATTGTGACAGAAATGTAATATTTTGTGACATTTAATGCTCTCACTTGGTACACATAAAATTCGTTAATTTTTTTAAAAAAGCATTATTTTATTTTTATTTATTTTTTATTCCTCCCAAAACTTGATAGTTTAAAAACTTGAAAAAAATACAATTAAAATCTCTAAAAATTTCTACATAAGTTTGGGAAGATACAAAGTGGGACATTGAGATGATTCTGAGAAATTAAATTCAATAGAAACGTTTGCTTGCTGTTTTGCTGCAGCGTTCCCCTCAACACGATTAACATCAATATACATTCAGAGCAGTAAATAGAAGTATCACATCTTACCATGTGCCATATACATACGTATTAACTTCATAGCCGATTACATTCCAATTAAAAAGTGGCAAACGGATTCAATTTAGTAGGATTAAACGGACGGAATATTTATACGAATAGGAGTGTGTGATACAGTTAATTGCGTTGATATGTATTTTATTGCACTTTACAGAGTATAGCGTTACTTCACATTTTCATAAAGAAATGAAATAGTTTTTTTGTGCCTTCTACTGTTTTTATTATATCAGTTGTTGCAATAGTTCTATTGTTCAACGTTGCTAAAAATGTGAAGGTAATGTTCTTCACATTATCGTCAGCCCATTTAAATAACTTCTTGTATAAATCAATAGATTCCTGTCAGGATTGAAGCTAGCTTGTATTGAGAATATTATCCCCCCCCCCTTTCCACTTCCTCCTCACTACGTCGCACGGACCCTTTCCATAAGACGTTGTGGAGCGAAGAAATGCCATTCAGCACTCACATCGAAGGCGTATTTGTGGAAGCATAAACTGCATTGTTTTGTAATACTAGGCTCTGACCCCATCCGAAAAATATGTCTCTTAACACTGTCATCGTACTTGTGAAGTGTTACGAGTATACATTGAAAAGTGTGAATTGAATTCGTGTCGTGATTCCGGCATCAAGAAAAATATTTTTTAATGCTCGGCTTTCTCTGAAGTGTAGCACAGAAGGATGCATAGTAGCTCAGACATTAATTCACAGCAGTCTCTGAATTACATCTGTAAGTACGAAAGAATAATTTTCTAAAAAATTCACAATGGACAAAGAAAACACCCAGCGTCAAATTTTATTTTTGGCACATGAAGAGAGAGAAGACGGCAAACGGTGGGCGAAGACAGAAGAAACAGAAGCGAACATACTCGGTCACTTTCTTTATTACCCCGATCAGATGACACGTTAGGGTGACCAGGACCAGCGCTGCACGTTTTTTCATCATTGTCACTGCCCAACATATTTGCGGCATGAACGAGTATGGTCGATTCTCACATTCTTGAAAAAAAACTTAAATTTACTTGTCACGAGAAGGAATTTTGAAAACCGACTTTTTCAATACACATAGCTTTTTTTTTTTACAGCAACCAGTCAATTTTCAACTTCTCAAGAAAGCTGGTTGTAACAATGTAACGTACACTTCCGCAATTATGAATTTTCATATTAAGAAACTGCAAATAACAATAGTATTGATGTTATTGTAAGACTATCTGTGGTTACTAACTTCAACGCACATGTTTCGCGGATTCCTCTGTTTACACAAATAACTGAACATATCTGAGAAAGAAGGCTGCCCTGTTTTAGGCAGACCGTAGCAGTGTCAGTTGTTTATAAATCAGCATAATAGTCGGATTTCGTTAGAAGACTCCCATTTGAAACCGCGTGCCTGTTTCTGCGATTCATTACATGACTGAAGTCTCACGGTTTCTTTGTGATGCGACGACTTTACAATTAATTGAAGTGTCGACCTAATGTTAACATTTGCATTTTAAAAATTAAAATGCATTTTATATATTTAAATGTGTACAAAAAAATTTTTACATCCTATATAAGTACACATTTTTAAGATAAATTTAAGTGTAATTTTATTTTTCAGAAAGAAACGGTATTTGCTCAAAAAATTTAAAACATTAACGCGCGCCTGATTTTTCGGAAAAAAATAATTGGTAATATTCCAGAAAGGGGTTGGGTTGGAAAAAAATATTAAATAATACGTGTCACCTCTTTTCAACCCTAGACCTCATAAAAAAGTTTCAAGTCAGTAAAAAATTGTGATGTTTTGTCGTGTGCGATTTGACGTGGAATGACTTCTACAAACGTGGGAACTCAATGACCGGCAAACAATCTTCGCAGTGCTGCACGTCTGCGACAACCAGTATTTCTCGGAATTTGGTATTTAAGATAACGAAACGTCACTGACACTTTCCAAAGGTAAGCTCACGAGCACTTGCCACTACTTTCCAACAGTGCAGGAGGTTATCCCAGACGGACCACATCTTCATGTCTCTGTCATTCAAAAATTAATTAAATATTTTTTGTGTAATAAGTTTCAAGAAAAATTAGTAGGAAAAAAAGTGTAAAAATGTTACGAAAAATTTAGGTGTTTGGATTTCACTAATTCACAAAGATCACAATTTTGTGAATTGAAGACTAACAAAAAATATGTAATTACAAAGAGAATTTGGACTCGATAAGTATCATGCAGTGAACTAAGCCCTACTTATAGAAGTTTGTTTTGTCGTGTACCCACACCCACCTTGTGCATAAGTCGTACTACTCATAATTTTTGTTGTTTTGTACTAGCAAATATTACATATATTACCGAATTTCAGTTTCTGAACTGAAATTATTCCTCACAGAAATTGACGCTGCATTGTCCAAGACAAGAAATGCAACAGATAATAAAATAGAATTTCCCATAACCAACATGTTATTTATCATTGTTTTGCCGGAAGGGCTGAGATAAATTAAATGAAATGATGCGCCTCCAGGTTCAGGTACGTACCCCCCCCCCCTACCATAAACCTCTTAAAGTGTGGTAAGTTATGAAGACTTTTGGTGAAACCTAGGAAGATCTGAAAACCTTCCTTGCGGAGGGCCGGGTGAGATGACTCAGGGTAACTGTAGCCACTGCAGTGCTCAGGAGCTTACGAGCTTGTTCTGGCTGGTGTGGTGCGTCGCTGGGAGAGATTGTTGGTGGGAAACCTCAAGCCGGGGGGTGGGCGCTGTTCTCTGCTATCCATGTAACACTCCGAACCGATGTTCAAACTATGTATGTATGGGCCCGTCTATTTCGCAAACGGTGTGCAATATACAGAATAAATCATTTCAGGTGGTAAAAACACCAGCGTGTTTCTCATAATATTAGCAATAAATAATTTATTTTACCATGTTCGCCTCAGAAGTAGAACTTCCCGTAGAAAGTGACTTGTTTTAAGTTTTCGATTCTGTCGCAACCTATATATCTCCGCTACTTCTTGCGCATGTCCAAGATTCAGAGCACTGTCGTAGACACGAGAGATCATTAAAATTATTTGCGAACCCACCGGTGGAGGTGGTTTAGGGCCTCATCTGATGTCACTGCAGCGCCTCTGATCGGGAGGTATAGATTTCGAGCCCAGACAGTGGCAGGATTTTCGACACTAGCCTGGTAGCTAGGTAAAGTTCTGTCCCTGTCTGTGGGAGAATTCTAGCAGCCAGCTGCTCTGATCGGCAGTTTTCCGTGTTTTTCTTTTCTTTTTTCAATAAATTGCATGCGAATGCCGGAACAGTATCTATATCAATCAGGCCACGGACCGCGCGCGATCTTTCCTTCCCATTTCTTGCCCTGTCCTACCCCTTACACACACTTAAATGCACTATACTGTCACACTTGCCGGGAGACCGGTCGGGAGCTTAGAGCTGTCCCTGCTGGGGCGGTGCCCCTCTGGTGGGAGATACTTGGATAAGGAAAACCTACTACCCGACGGTTGGTCGGCGCCGGATCTCGCCATCCAGCGGGGCATGTTCACCGCCACTTCCCGAGCCAAAAAGATGCACGACACTTACGGGAATAGTGATCTTAGCCGTTGACGCGCCCATAATCACTAGTAATCAATAATTTGTGAACAGCGAACGCATTACCATCTGATGTCTTGTCGACAGGAAATTGTTTTGAAGGCCTAAAATCGTGTGGGGCCTTTACAGAACTGTCGTAATTTGCACCTAATTCCGCATATTTACAAATTTTCGTCGTTCTTCTTTTGTACCCGGAAAAATATATTTTGTTCTTCTTCAGCAATATGTAGAACTACCTTCAGATGCATTGAAAGCACAACCATCTGGACATTAAAAAAGAAGAGAAATCATCAATTTCATCTATCAATCTCATCAGAATTAAAGTAACTCGCTTCATGGTAATGAGGAATGAGCAAATGTTTGCGAAGCAAAAGCAGTCACAACCATGATGGAAGGTCCTTGTTACAATCGCAAACACATGTTTGCTCATATTTTGTAGAACCAATGCCTAACTTGATCCCAGTTGGACACATGTGCTTACAGACTATTGTCTTCTTGCGCCCCATTGTGATACATTCTATTTAGGGAGCAATATTGGGAACCTATACATGAAATGCCACTTGCTCAGGGAATACATTGCTGGAAAGTGATTGATCAGTATGTGATAATTGTTTTCAATAAACAAAGTTAATTTACAATTATGCTGGATTTATAAGAGGAACATAGTCCTTATTAGATATTTTGCTTTTTTATTGCAATAAATTCCATTCCCAGGCTTTTGGTGTCTGGCTGAATTAAAAATTTATCTTTCTCTTAAAATGTGACACAATGGGATACCTGAAGCTAATTACCTAATATTGTAGATGTCCAATTTGAGGATTAAAATTAATGCTATTAAAACATTTTTTTAAAGTTTATTTCAAATTTATATAACAGTATTTCAAAACGCAAAAAAAAAAAATTAAATTAAGATCTGTCAACTGCTTATCTGCAGCATTAACTCAGTTGTAGTGTTAGAGAAATCACATTTCTTAACAAGTAATTTCATGTGTAATTTGCTGGAAATCCTTTAGTTTTCTTGGTTAAAGTGTCTTCAAAGAATTTTGAAATCAATTGTGAATGATATTGTATAACTGTATACATATTGTGAAACCTCTGAAGAAAAGATTTGGAGCAATGTTCGAGAAAATTTTGAAAATGTCTGGAGGGCTTCAGATAGCAGTATAGTTATGTTTTGTAAAATATCGTTGGTAAATACCACTTAAAAAATTACGTCCTTTGGTTATATTTTATTTTTAAATCTAATGAAGTCTGTTGTATTTCCTTGTTCTTTAATAATATTTTCTTTCCACTTCAGGATGGCATGACTTCAAGAGAAATAAGATTTGAGCAACTTCATAAAAGAAAAGCTGCTGCAATGATTGCTAAAGTAGATGATATTCTGAAGGTATGAGTATTCAATTTATTTTAATGAGGTACTGTAATAAGTTCATTTTCATTTTACTGTTCTTTGAATTGCCTATTCTCAAATATGTTATTTTTAGGGCCTTGAGAAAGAATTCAATAGCAATTCTAACATAGAAATCAGAGAAGTTGCCTTTATCATTGGACCAACAATTCACTGTCCTAAGGAAGTGTATATATTTAAATTTCCTGAAGCATATCCTAACAAGGATCTTAGGAAAAGTGTTAAAAGTGATCTAATGAGGTAGGTTTCAAAAAGGGAGTATATTAAATTAATATTGTAAATTATCCAATTTGTATAAATAAGAAATAATTGTGAATATTACAAACAAACAAAAAAAAGTCTGTATACATTTGTCAAGAGAGTTATATATTCATTCATTCGACAAAGAACAACAATTTTTAATAAAATTATTGAAATGAGATCTTAACTGATACTTGGTGGTTAACCTGATCTTAACTATCATTTTAATTTCCCTGTACAGTCACACTATTGGATCGCATAAATATTATATTGGGGTGTGAGAGGTCCCAACATTCATTTAATTATATTCTCTTTTAGTTTGTATTTTGTAATAACATTAACGCATTTAGTATCTTCTGTAAATTTATGATCTTGGTGATATCTGTTCAAATATTTAAATATTTATTACTTTAAGACCAGTCTGACGTTATACATTTTCAATACTCCTTTCTAAGCCGGGGAAACAGATAATGTAAACCAAAAAAATTTTAAAATTATAGAACATTAATTAAGCTTTAAATTGTGTAAACATTATCCTCTTCAATTAAAAATGCAAGAAAATCAATAAAGGTTGTTTCCAGTCTTATATAAAAAACTCGCACTTTCTTCTTTACTGGAACATTCTCCTAAAGAATTTTTATTTAAAAAAAAAATAAAGAAAATTTTGTTAAATATAATTATTTTCCATTTTAAATCTTCTTTCATTCTACTGTGATTTTTTTATTCATTTAGGTTTTTTCTCCCTTTCCAACATTTTATTTTAAGCATCTGCTGTCACTAGACACTGGTTCTAGCAACAAACTTTATCTTTTTTTGACTATTTTCAACCACTTGCATGAAGTTGAAAAAAATTCTCTAATTTCTCAATCTTGAATAAAACTACTGTAAAATGAGCAAGGTTGGAAATTTAATTAGTCACAAAAGGCACTCTGGGCTGAGGTACACACCAAACCTAATTCTCGCATACACATATGAAAACATTTAGGTCATTATTGAATTTGTAAGTAAAAGCAACTCTAAGGGAGTAATACCAGTTAAATTTACAGATAATAAATTCAGCACACACAATTTTGAAAGTTAAGCCCTAACAAGCTCTGTCAAAATAACCATTAACCGATTGTCTCAATAGTTTCACCAAAATTATCTAATTATAATCATAGGATCGTAGTAACCATTGCAGTGTCCTTCCACAATTCCTATGCTACAGAACAGTATTTTCACTTTCTGATGAATGATACAAAGATAAATAATGAAATGATAATCATACAAAACAACCCCAAATAACTTGTGTAGAAGTATAACTCCAAATTGAGCAAACATACCTGTTCCATTAGAATCTGAACAAAAAACATTAATGTGATTAGAATATTGGTCAGTAAGTGAACAGTACATTTGGCAAATGTGCACTCGATATTTAAATACATAAAATAGTGCAATGGAGCAATCCATCAGAGGCAAAGCAAATGTTGAAGCAGCAGAAAAGCATTACTATTCAACAATAACATTCCCTAAGAGACGTCAGTCTTATGAACTCCAATTCATAAAACTTGAAATACCTCCATTGTATATCATACATGAGATTACAATGTTTGTGAAAAGAAACAACGTAGTGATAATTCACAGTACAAGTTTAACAGTAAGTTCTCTTCAATTCTACATCCAAGATAAGCAAATTATCTCCTCCACCAGTTTCTTTGTGGTATTTGATAAGAACAAACTGTTTCTATGCTCTGTGGTAGGGCACAATGTAGAAGCTGGCATCAGCTACTGTAGGAAATATAACATCTCCATCGTAGCTGCAAATACAATTTTCCTCATTAATAGTATTAGTACTATTTCAGTAATACTATTTAATTTACCTTCATTATATTGTTATGAATTACTTTAGGGGCAATAACAATATTTAACATTGCTTTGTTTCACACAGTTGTAATTAAACATCTTGTCTTCATTAGTTTGTTGTTTTCTTTATTCAATTTTCTCATTGAAATATCATTTGTTCTATATAAAAAAATTCAATGGAATGTGTAATGCCTTTGTGCGACCATCCAAGATTAATGTTAGTGTTACAATCCAGTATTACTTGCATATTGAATGCTTAACTACATAACTTACTAAGTATAAAATAAAAGATTTTTGAAAAATTTTCAATTGTCTTTTAATTGCTACTTTATGTTCAGTGTGAATAGAGATAGCTGACAAAATCTTTTTAATATTAAAGATTTTAAGATTTAATTACGGGTTTCGAAATAATGCTTATTTTAAGAGCCTCAGTATACCTGTCCTGGTTCATTTTGACCTATATTTTAGAAATGAAGGAGTAAGTAACCATAAAATACACAATTTTCAAATGTCCATAGCTTCATGAAGTTTTTACCAAAAGTACTTTAATTGTATACATGAATTAACGCTAGAAATCTCTACTTCAAGAATTGAACGGTTTATCTATTTCCCTGCAATCAGCTAACGTTAGCATAATTATCATAGTATTATTATCCTTAATTCGAATCTCATAGAAACAAACACAAGACACTACATTTGGCAATTTCACATATTTATAATTTAATTTAAATAATTATATGCTGGTTCATATGATATGTTACTTTAGAACATGGGGCTTAGACACCATGGAGAATATCTACTTATAAAGCTTCAATTTTTCACTAAACCTAACAGAAGTTATTTGCGTGATCATCAACAAACCATTCAAATTGTGAATATTACATCGAAATTCAATTTCTTTTGGATATGATGTGGTGGTGGTTGCATGCAGAGTGAGAAATTTTATGTATTTTGATGGTATTTTGATGGTCAAAAGTTAACATGAGATAAATTTTGAAATAACAAAGAAAATCATTATTGCATTATTTGATGTACATTGTCAAATGACATGATAGATATTTTCATAAGATTTCATAAAGAATATATATATAATAATAATATATATATATTATATATAATAATATATATTCTTTTATTTATTATATTTTTATATAAATTATATATAAATTTATCATTTTCTTGATATATCAGGTTGAGAGCATTTTGTAGAAAGCTAGATTTGTGTTTAGTTGCAGAAGGAAACTGTACAATAGAAATAAAGAACAACTTTGCAGTTCTAATGCATAGACAGCTCTTATTCATGTGTACATGTAGTTATTTGCATTCAATATTTGGTCAAAAGAAAGCATTGGGTACAATATTGAATCATTGAGAGCTAGAGTGGCCTTTCTGCAATGTTATAGATTGCAGTTAGGCAATTGTTCATATGGCTCAAGATACACATGTTCTTGTCACTTCATATTTTTAATGTACATTGATAATGAATTTCTTCATTACAACCTAGGCATAAGTGTTGCTGTTTTCTTTTTACTTTATTTTTGGTTGAAAATAAATAAGTATTTATTGTAATTCTTTTTGATGTTAATGTTTAATTATTGCCTTGTTGCAGACATGTGGTACTTAACCCTGACTTCACAAATTTTATTTCAAAACCAATTCAAGTGACGAACATGTATGTTATGGTCAAGAAACCAAAAGGGGATGTAGCAACATGGATCTGCCCTACATCAAATTACAAGATTCCAACAAGGGCTCCTCAAGTAGAAATTGAACTACTATGTGACAATCCCAAATGTGTAAACCCACAAGTAGACAGTATTTTAGAAAAGATAAGTGGATTAAATGTTTCAAAGTCCTGTTGTCCTCACCATATTTTGAGTCAGCAAAACAGTAAATCAAATATTGCAGCACAAAAACGAATTTACCCTGAAGAAAATAATATTTTAGATGAAATGAATACATCTTTGACATCTTTGTTAATAAGTAATGAATCTCTCAGAAATTGCCCAGGTGTCTGTGAATCTGACAATGGAACTAAAGATGTAATAGCTTTGACAGGAAACACACTCATGCAAGCCCCAACCTCACACCAGGGTGATAATCCTTCACATGCGAATTGTAATGCTATTTCAGCACATGAGAATTATGATATTAGTAAAAAGGAACTAATGCTGCAAAATAAGACTCATAAAGAAGGGAAACCAGAGTGTGTAGCTTCAATGTCAAATGAACCAATATGGTACATTACTTCAGAGTACCTCCCTTACTTTAAAGTACCTGCTATTAGTAAATGCCCCAATAATAAGCGTATAAAACATTAGAATATTGAAGTATATTGGTAAAAAATATATTAAGTCAAATGTCACAAGTATGAGTTGCCTTACAGGAATCGGGAGATAAAAATGTGATAATTAAATTAATTTTAATAGTATATAAGAATGTATATCCATGTTGAAAATTTTAATTGAATGACCCATTTGATTTCTTTATTTTTTATTTATAAGGTTATTTCCTATTTGTTTTACTCACAAGTACATGAATAAATGCATGAAATGTCTTATTTGCCTTTGTGAGTCATTACAGAAATTATTGATTTCATCCAAAGAATAATTTAAAAAACTCATTTTTCCTCCTTAACTTTTCAGAAGATTTACAGTTAAATCAGGAAGATTAAATATTTGCTTTATATTAATTTAATAGAGAAAGTTTCATTTGATACCAAAAATGATTACTTCAAATTGCCAACTGATTTGGGGCTGGAGAAAATAGAAAGAAAGAAAAAAGGAAGAAAAACACATGCACACTTCCTATAAAAAAAAAAATAAAAAAAGTTAGGTAAAAAATGTCTCCAAAATTGAATAGAAATGTGTTGAATTCTTATGTCATATTTTGTGGATTCTTAAAGAGAATAATATCATAGAGAGAACTTAAGATTACACGATGTTGTGATAGTCGTGAATCAAATTAGTTTAATTGTGAATTAGCAAACAAGTTATTTTGGATAAAGTCAATTATAAGGCACAATTTAAATTTTTTTTATTTCATATCATAAGGTTACTATAAAAAACAACAAAAAACAACTTTGGAAGGATGGAATAAATACTCATTTTATGTATAATCTGAACTTTTTAGTTTTAAATAACAGCACAACCATTTCTTTGTTTGTTAACAAACACCACTAGTACCATATGATGGCAAATCTGTCCAAGAACATAGCTGACAAACAGCATATAATGCATGTTAACCAGCAGTATTCAAACATATCAGACTATGCTTGCATTGTACAATCTGTGATGAAAGTTCCCATATTTTCACATTAAGTAGTTTAATCCAGATCTTCAGATTACCTGAAGTGCATACACATGGATCTGGAAAAGTTATTGGCATGTGTAATAAGCTTTTCTTCATTAACAAGTATATGGGCACATAATTATCTGTCCAAATATATATAATACAGATTATAAAAACCAATTAGAGTAATGGATCAAATGTAATGTATGGACATACAGGAAAGCTTCAAAAGCTTTTAGTACTTATTTTTTTAAATTAATGTAATTTTAAAAGATCTGAATGTTTAGAAATTATTTTTAGAAGTCTTTTCTAAGGTACAACTTGTTACCAAATTTATTTTCTTATCTGAAAAATGAAACAATGAGAGAACAAAATATCTTCACAGAAAAAAAAATTAAACAGGTTACGATAACACAAATATTAAGTGATTTAGGAGGGGAAATAAAGAGGGTACACATACATTGTTCATGAAATATTGGAACTTTTGGTCACACATTGCATCTTATTTCAGACTACCATAATTCTTGACTAATCGTAATTGAAAGTGAACTTGGGGCAACCTTAAAGTGTTTTCCCTTTATGAGGAACTCTTATTCCTGGGTTTTGGTATTTTTTTCACGTTTTTTCGAAGAGGAGGAACTAGTTGATGCTGAATCGGCTGGGGACGAAGTATTTGAATGTTCCTGTTCCCAACTCTGTCCTAATGACTCGCACATACTCTGACCATCTCCATCTTCATACGAGTCTATATCCACCTGCAACATGTCAGGTGTACTGTTCATATCTGAGCCCTGCGAGTTCAAGAGTGCTGCTCGCACTGCCCGTCGTTGTTCATCTGAATGTTGAGAGCACCGCATAGACCTCGTACACAATTTTCTTGTGCTCACTGATATAACACCACAGATTTGCATTAATAAATTCTTCTTCTCTTCATTGGACATGCTATCATAGTTCATGTTAGAGTTGTTAAGCTCTGAACATGTTCCAGTCTCTAATGTTACATCTCCATTACGGCCAGTCTTTGAATTTTTAGGACGTCTAGTTCCAAAACTCACCCTCTTTTTTCTACGTCTATCTGAACCAAGAGAGAGTTCAGAATCATTATCATCTGTTGCACTATATCCTACCATCTCTTTGCTACTATTTGTTATTTGCCGACTTGCTAATCTTAAACTATTTCTACCAAGACCCATACATTTTGATAAATGAGGTGCAAACCTCAATGCAGCAAGACTACGCTTACAACTGGGGCAAATGCATCTCTGAGGACGTTTTTTCAATGGTTGTCCGAATATATCCATATCAGCTCCTTCCACAATTTCAAATTTGCTCACTTCATCAGTGATGCCATCCTCATGGTCAACAAGGCCACATTTGGCAGCTCTATGGACTTCAAACACAATACCCAAGACCACAGAATCTACTAAATCATTAAGTACAGCTTCTGCTGCAGCCTCCACATTGTTGGGGTTACTTAAATATGACCTAACCTCACGATCTAATTCAATTTGTTTTTCTTCAACCGATGCCATCGTTGAAAAACGAACTAGAAATTAAGAACACAATCACAGTTTGGTGGCTTCTCATTCAGTATTAGTTACATGCTAGAAATCTGCGGTGAAATAGCGGAATAAATTATCATCACAAGCGTCGAGAAAATTATCAATTATCGCAGCACATCCACACAAATCACTCGTTTTTATTCACGGCGCCAGTCTTGCTGGCGTTATCCTTCATTATTACACAATTACATTTGCACTTCGCATATAACCTAAACGCATTGTGGATTAAATTGTTATGGGTGCAATAATGTCAGTTGTCTGGCACATCATCTCATTACATCGTTGTATCGATGTGACTCCACACTGCACAGGACTGGCGAAGTATTATTGTTGCGAATTTCAGTCATCATTTTATATGCTCGTTATAAATAAAGTGGCCGAAACACCGTTATTAAAGTATTCCAAACCAGATTCACTTAGCGTGTCATCGATTCTTAACACGGCAGCGAATCGTTACGCATAACATTGAAGTTTATGCTTAGATGAGACCGGGGAAGATTACGGTTGAAATATTCTTATTGGTGATAAAAAAAATTAACTCAGATTTGGCTAGATCATTATATTTTATTTACACAGTCATATTTATGGCGTTCATAATCATCAAACGAACTGTCTTGGCTCGGGCATATGTGTTATTCTCAGGTTATTCTGCTCGGGGCCGGGACTACTCCAGATCGAACACCGGAGTACTCTCTGGTGGTAAAGAATGGTAACAATGTATGCATGCGCTCCGGTCCGGACTAGAGAGTCGAGTTGAGATCATTGATAAGACGTTCGAATTGTACTCCATATTGTAACCAAGTTAATCACTATTAATAGACGGAATTAATAACAAAGTGATTGCTACTTAGAATGTGTACTGTTTTTTAGACATGACATAGATGAATGTTGCCGAAGATGGAGAATTACGGGGTAGTATTATAAAACAAAACAATTTTTAATACGGCAAATGGCAAAGAATATAATGATTTTCTCGGGCATGAGCTCAACTGTCCTTAATGAAAAGTTGTTTTTTTTAAAGTATGTTATGCTTAATTTTGACACATTTGCAAATGTTTAAGGTGTCATTGATTCATAAATATTGACAAACCGCCAACCTTATTTTAAGGCGAGGATTTTTTCAATGTTAGAAATATTTATACTTCGAAAGGGTTTGAAGATAAGTTTCTGTACTATTGAGGTATCGACATACCTGTATTGTTACATGACAATTTCATTGTAATTGTATGTACTACATTGAATCATACGGTGGGCGTGGCCCTGCTGTGCATGACCAATCAAATTAGTTGGGTTGAGATTATGTAGTGAAAGCAAGTAGACCCCTATTGGTGGCTCGTTATTTGAATCGTTGCTACAGCATTACTACTGTGAAGGACAATTAAGAATAAATCTTCTATGAACGTAAAATAAATACGAAATACATTTCATTCTGTGAAGTAAACTTCAATAGATAGCCTTTCGTTACATTTTTTTTTCCGTAAACGACGCAACGAATTCTTTAAAAATTAAGTGACGTCATAGAATCTATTATAAATGTAGGTAAATATACGTTTGTCAAAAGTTATAACGTTCAGTATTGAAATAAATACAAACACACATACATACATACATAGTGCTTAATTTATAAAATTTTAGGTACTGTAACGCGCCCCAAATTAATTAATAATTTAATACAAAGAGTTATATATTTACAATATTATTTAATCATATATTCCAGAGGGACCGAAACGTTCCGTCACGTTCCGCCACAAATCAAGCTATAAATTGATACAATTTATAAATCCTGAGAAATCTAATTAAGTGAATATCACTGTAAAATGGTGATGCCTTGATTCGTCATTAAAACTATGGCATTTCAATAGTTCATTAAAACCATTAAAATTCATTGCCACTGAAATATAGCCTTAAACACATTTTTCTCAGAACTTATAAAATGTCACTTATACCATTCTTATTTTCACCCATTCACATATTAAATATTTTTATTTTTTTTTATTATTATTTTGGTTGACATTCTTTGGTGCTTTCACAGATGAAGTTATCTGCAAGAAATTTTCAATTTATTTATGTATTTAATACCTTTATTTTTTAAATTACTTTGTAAACACTCTTCTGTATAAAAGTTATAATTGTAGTACATTATTAATATTGCTTCAACAAATGCTAAGGTATAACAGTAATGAAATTTGTAATACATTTAAGAAAGTAAATAGGCTTGAGCTCAGCATATTAACTGGTCCTCAAAACCTGTGATAATATCACAGCAAGAAATGTTTTGAAATGGAATTGATTATAAATTAGAGAAAAAAGTATGAACAGAACTAAAAATTTAAAATTTGCACAAACACGGACTATATCATGCACCATAATTATCCAATAAGTATTAATGAAAGGATGTAGTGATAGAGTGAACCGGTGTTCAGAATTTATTCCATTTTATAATAATATTGATATGGAAGAACTTGTTTACTCAGAAATTATCAAAATTGAGTTAACAGGTACCAGCAGAAGCATGTGCAGTTTAAAACTAGGGGGAAGCCAACTGTGTATCCAGGCCCCTATGTTCATTGAACATTTTTTGTTACGTATAACTAAGCTGGGGATTTACAAACATTTAATCTGTAGAAACAGGCAGGCAAAATAGGCAATTAAAAACGTAAAATAGGCATTTAAAGAGACACTATATATTTTCTTGTCCTTATTTACATTATTGAGTAAATAGTTTTTGAAGTAAACATTATATAGTTACTTTCATGGAACGTTTGCTTTTATCATTGTTCTGACAAATACTCATAGAAATTCTCTCTATCATTGTTGAGGAATTTGAACAAAAAAGGCTGAATCGCAGTAGCTACCTTTTTTTTCATTAAATGCAAGATGATACTCAACTGTAGTACAGTTTGATCTTTTTCCTCGCTTTGTAATTTAAACATTATCAAAAACATTGTATGATTTCTTTTAATCGCCATGCATCGCACAAATGTTGTTAATGGTGTCATTGCAGCATCAAATACTTTCTCCCATTATATACTTTCTTGCTCATGAAATATCTAAAAAAAATTCAAAATTGGCAATTCTTTTGCAAGTCTTTTAAGAGTGCCTTGTTCTGTTTGTTTACAAAAAATTAAAGAAATAATGTGTAGTGTTTTTTTTGTATTTTGCATTACTTTCAAGAAAAATTCTGTAAAACACACTTTTTTTTTTTTCCTCTCTCTCTCTCCTTCAAAAAATGATTCATGACCTGTTATTTTAAGATCTGATTTTTTTTAAACAGATTTTGTTTGAGATAAAAATTTCTGTTTCCAGTATTTTGCTTTTGCAATGTTAACTTTTAAAATTGAATCAACACCAATTTTTATGCCGTCCTTACAAGGAGAAAATTTTAAGAAAAAGTGTGAAACTTTAACTTGGCCGCCAGTGTTTTTGCATGTGTTTTATAATACAAAATACAGTAAAGGGCAGTGGTGGCAGTAAAATGAAACATATATCTATCATAGTTGTTCAATTTGTCTGCACTCTGCATTGCAGGAAAAAAACGGAAGAAAAAAAAAAGAAAAGAAAAAAACGTTCAATATTTTAAATTTTTGATTGAAGATAATTGCATTGTTATCAATAAATAAGGGAATAGGCATCATTTAGGCATTTAAAAAATATATATATTAATTTCCAGACCTTATAAATGTCCTATATATTACTCTAGATGTGTCTAAATGAATAACCTAATGATAACCTGAAAAATAGCATTTTCTGTTGAAGGGGGAAAAAAAAAATAAGGTTACATAATAGGCAAAAATTCCGTAGCTTACACGTAACATATTTTACTAGTAAGTGAATAAACCAAACTAAGAGGAGAAATGAAATTACAACAATCAATAAACACATTTGATTTCATATTAGTAATTTACATCTTATGGCAACATAGATATTTACATTCTGTCATTCCTGATGATACCTCTTCACCAAATCTATAACAATGTTTCACAAATTTTCAGGTTAAAAAAAAAAATTAAGGATTGAACATATATA